GCATTTGACGATAGTGTAGCAGAATCTGGCGTGGAGACCAAAAGGGCCACGATGCAGATTTTGCTGCTACTAACAAAGGAATCCATCGAACCGCTGGCGAGAACAGATACATAGAACAGCCTGAGTTTGTCCTCATTCAGGAGTCATGGGTTAATGGAGGGCGTATTTGCGAACTGGGGACACAGAGCTATAGGTTATTTATGGCTAATTGTCAAGGTAAAATCAGAGCCTGCATAATGGCAAAGAAAAACTTTTACGTTTTTATATTACATCATTCCAGCAACAACGACACAGTAACAGTAAGCTGGGAAACGAGCACATGTAGTTATCGGCTGGTGTCGAGCTGCATGCCATACGAGGAAGAGCTGGTGCCACCTCTGATGGTAAAAGAGGAGGTACGGGATAGCCAGGCATCCAAGTGCATGATTATACTTGGATGCGACTCAAACGCGCAGCACACAGTCTGGGGCAGCACAGATGTCAACGACAGAGGTGAGTGTCTTTTTAATTACCTACTAGGCACTAAGCTACTGTTGTGTAATAAGGGAAGTACACCAACGTTTATCACAAGAAACCGACAAGAGTACTGGATATCACTCTTGTGTCGGAAGTATTATTTGACAGGGATTACCCTGGAGAGTCCTCGAAGAACATTCCTTTTCGGATCACAGATATATTGAATGTATTTTAAAAGAAAGGGCTGATAAAGACATTGACTTCAGGAATCATAGAAAATCGAACTGGCACCTGCACATGCAAGATCTGGAAAAACGTATCCCTACGATTCCGCCATTTCAGCCTAATAGTAAGGACGATATCGACATTGTTCGATTCACTGAATTTTGCCGGCAAGCATTAGAAGTGGTTTGTTCAATAACACATAGTAGGTGTAAACCTAGGACCCCCTTGTGGTCGCCCGAACTTAAAAAATTACAGAAAGAATGCAGAAAGCAGTTCAATTTAGCCAAACAACCCGAGACGAGATAGACTGGGATTATTATTACAACCTCCTTAGGTCATACAAAAAGGAAGTTAGGAGAGCAAAAAGAAATTGTTGGAAATCTATTTGTAATGATATCGAGAACACAGCGGAAGCGTCTCGACTTAGGAAAATAATGGCACAATCGGTGCATAGTATCGGTTATCTTTAGAAGCCAGACGGCAGTTGGACGGTATCCAGTTAAGAGTCGCTGAGACTACTAATGGATACCCATTTCCCAGGCAGTTCTGAAAGCCATACGGTTGGATATACTCAAGACAGTGGAGAAGAAATAGACTCGACTCTTATAAACACAGTGTCAGAAAGCAACGTACACTGGCAATAAATAGCTTCAGGCCCTTCAAGTCACCGGGACCAGACAGTCTATTCCCGGCTCAATTACAGGAGTCGCAGAATTACATAATGGATTGGCTAGTTACCATTCTTAAGGGGGCGCTTCAATTAAACTATATCCCTTCGCTTTGGAAGGAAGTCAAGGTAATATGCATACCTAAGGCAGGTAAAAGCTCGCATACAAGTCCAAAGTACTTCAGACCAATTATTCCCTCCTCATTCCTTCTAAAAACGTTGGAAAAGCTAATAGAACTACATAAAAGAAACAAACTAAAACCAGATAAGCTGGCTGGTTCGCAGCATGCGTATTCTAAAGGAAAATCCACAGAAACAGCACTAAGCTCTGTGGTGGCGGACATTGAAAAATCTTTGGAAGTTCAAGAATACACTCTATTTGCCTTCTTAGATATAGAAGGAGCCTTCAATAACATCCAGCCTAGGGCTATGCTGAGTGCGCTTAAGGATCTGGACATCTCTGAACCTCTCAGAAAATTAATTGAACAGATGCCCATAATTTCAAAGCTGGGAGCGTCAACGATGTGCAGATCCGTCCAAAGTGGTACACCTCAAGGAGGCGTGTTATCCCCACTTCTCTGGATCCTGACAATGAATAAGTTGCTGTGGGATCTAGAAAAAAAGGGGGTACATGTTGTGGCCTACGCTGACGATGCGGCAGTATCGGTTAGAGGTAAATTCCCGAATACTTTCACAAACCTTATGCAAACGATCTCGGACGATATAAACCGTTGGGCTGTATCGTGCGGATTAAACCTAAATGCTGTTAAGACAGACCTAGTATTATTTACCAGGAAGCAATACACTCCAGTAGTTACGGCGCCATTATTAAATGGTTGCAAACTAGCAAGCTACCTAGGACTAATCTTAGACAGGAAGCTTACATGGAAACAAAACTTAGATGCTAGGGTGAAGAAGGCAGCCACAGCACTCTACACCTGTAAAATATTATAATAGTGGGCCCCAAATGAGGGCTAACGCCTCGGATAGCTTATTGGCTCTATACAGCAGTTGTCAGACCAATCATGACTTACGGTATATTGGTATGGTGGCCAATAATGGATAAGAAATACGCGGTGAGGCGTATGGAAAGTACACAAAGAGCAGCCAGTATATGCCATAGCGGAGCTCTTAGAACAACGCCTAGCCAGGCACTAAACGTCATTCTACATTTATTGCCAACAGACCTATTCTGTAAACAAGTAGCAGCAAAAGCAGCTCTCAGACTAAGGGAGTCCTCCCAATCAGTCGCCTGCAACAATGGGCACTCTAGAATACTTAGTTTATTCCCGTTTCTACCCAAAACCACGGATTTCCGAAATCCAATAGAATTGAAGCTAAAGTTGGTTCACAATATTGCCTCCCCCCACCAGAGAGGAGTGGGAGATCCAAACTAGATAATCGAGTGGGAGGTGGTGTCTTCTCTGCAACTTTAGACATCAAAATCGCCTTCCGCTTACCAGACCACTGCAGTGTAGTAGCATATATATTTATACGGATAGCCAAGCGGCCTTGAAAACACTCAAGTCTCCTATAGTCTCTTCAAAGATAGTGAAAGAATGTCTTGATCTATTAGAGGATCTAACATCCTATTCCACGATAAACCTGCAATGGGTTCCAGGACATAGCGATATCCCTGGTAACTGCGAAGCAGATGAACTAGCCAGAACAGGTACCACTCTACAATCAACCCCTGAAAAAGAGGGTATATTTATGCCTCTGGCAACTGCAAATACTTTATCAGGGAACATGCTATAAATCTGGCGAAGTCTCGGTGGAGACAATCAATAACCTGCTCAACCAGCAGACTAACGTACTAAAATTCAAAAGAAATGACATAAGAACTCGGAAAGGAGTACTAACAGGTCACTGTCCAATTGGCAGACATGCCAGCAGGCTAGGCGTACCTTACAACGACTATTGTAGAAGCTGTCAGGAGGTAGAAGAAGAGGAGTCTGTAAAACATCTTCTATGCGAATGTAAAGCTCTATACAGGAAAAGAATCGCAACTATAGGTCGTAGGTTCCTTGACAACGTATCAGAAGTTACTAGTATAAAATTATTTGTACTGATGAGCTTCATCAGGAGCACAGGTTGGTTCAGAGAGGAGACGATAGAGTGAGGGAACATTAGTCCCGGTGGTATCACAATGGGCTTCCTATAGGCCTAGGTACGTCGTTAGGCAGCCACTCAACCTACCTACCTACCTTACGATAAAGTTGTGAGTTGCCAGATTGCAACACTAAGGTTGCCAAATCCCGAAACATAAAAAGCAACCTACGTATAGACATGGGCATATCGCTCTAAACGCATTCTCCTTCCATGCTATCGAATCAAGATTAAAAATTAGCTATTAAACAAATTTATCGAACAATGGGTCAACTTGATTCACAAAAGTAGGTATTTCATAAATATCGTGTTCTTAGTTGTTGAAATCACATTTGGAAAGGAAGGAAATGTTCAAGTCTTATCTTTTCGAATATGAACAAATCCAATCTATTATTATTCATGGTACAAAATTAACAAATTAAAAGTGTCTTAAGAATTTGTTAGATTTTAAAAACATTCAGAAGAAAAAATATCATTAAATAAGCTATAAATATCTTGTCTCTTTTACTTCATAGAAAGAGTAAAGAGCGATAAAGTAATAATGATGATTTTACTGTTGCGTAGTAAATTGCTAGATGGCCTAGAAGAATTGTACGTTTAAGATTACATTTGAGAAAGCTCTCTCTCTTAATATTTACTGACTTGACTTTATTTGTATCCATAAAATCAATAATCATGTCATTCTGTTGTCAGTCATTTCCAATAATACTGAAATTCATGAAAGATTGCTACACTAGGTTTGCCAAATCACGAAATATAAAAGCAACCTACGTAGCGGCTGTAAAAAACAGTTTTGTATCATTTATGTTTTATACCATCAGAAAGTAGAGACTTTCACGAACATAAAACCTACTGAATTTTTAAAAAATCTGAAATTTTCACTGTTTTTTTGAAAATTAGAGTTTTTTTAAAATAAAAAAAGGACATTTTCATCAAATTTAGTGAAAGAAAAAATCCCAAATCGGTTATTTGAATTTTTCACATAAATTTTAAATTCAAAAATTCAACCACGCCCTCCCCTTCCATTTCCCGCCCGTATATAATATTTTCTTTAATGTTTGTTCTTTCCGATGGGTTTCATTCTACTAGGAATTTCTTTCTTTTTTTTTATAATTTTCAAAGGCTTTTGCAGTATATGCAGTATGCCTATATATATAATGCTTACAGTACAACATAAATGACAAATTAATGAAGATTAAATTGAAATGTTTCATAATATATGTATGTATAAGGAGAGTCTAGTTAAGGAATATATATATATATATATGTAAAATATATGTATGTACTAAGTTATACACACATGTATGTTTTTAAGACTAAGGATATTAGCAGGTTAATTAATTCTACAAAAAAGGTTTCAGAACTTTTGAAGTTATCTTCGTAGAAAAGCTTTTCATTATATAATACAATTATTAAAGTAAACAAAATAGTTCGAAAAGTATACGAAAAATATTCAAATATTTTATAATAAATATTTCACAATTAAAAACATTAACGCTGACTGAAAACTAAATGATTGAACAGAACGAAACAATAGATTTACCTTCATCGCCTTTTTCACCACCGTCTGTTGACACATATTTATATATGGTGGAGCAAACATGAATGCCGTGTACCGTATTATAAGCACACGTATACATACGCATGTATTTAGGCGGTTTGTATTTCAAGTAATAAAATAACACAAGAGAGGAAAGACAAAAAACATAGAGATGAAAAGAAAAATTGTTCACAATGTGATCTCGAACAACAACAAAATGTAAATCAATTACTGCTTAATTGATATAACGAAACATATCAGATGTAATGCTGTTTCGTGAAAGAGTCGAAATAATTTTGTGTACTCCAAGGAGCACCGACAATATTGGCCATTTACGCTCAAATCGTCTCTAACGGAATTTTGTGTGTGATTTTAGGTTCTCATACTGATAATGGTTTGTGAAACATGCTATTTTAAGTTGATTAAATATGTTATAATATTTTTCAATATTAATACTTTGTTAAAAATACTAAATTTCTCGTTTGTTCTTACAATTTTGTGCAGTTTCGTGCGTTAACGCTGTGAGTAATGTTTTTACGAAAATCTATGTCAAATTTCAGTATTACGTACCATCGTCTCCGTAGTCTTCTTCACCGTCCTCCTCCTCTGTGTCTGTTGACTTAGATTTGCCTAAGCTTTTCAGTTTTTTACGCTTCGCCGCATTTCTTCTCCGTGCTGCAAACGAATAGAAAATTATGTACATATGTTTGGTTTTTGGTTTTTTTTTTTATAGAGAGAGTCATAAGAGCATATTACTTTTTTGTAACGACTCACCCTCCATTATATGCATTTTTTCCGCCTCCGTTGTACGCTCTTCGGCTAAGATCACTTCCTCTGCAAGTAGACGGATGATTAATACGAAGAAAGAAAGGTGTCATTTTCGAATAAATTTTTTGTTCAAAATACAAATATACATATGTATGCACCAACGACAATGTCACGCTACAGTTGAAATATTCGTACATACATACTTATGTATTTGTAATTTAATAGCAGCACATAAAGTAAGTTAGTTGAGGTGTTCATGGTACCCGATTCTATTTATTTAACGTGTGTATATGTGTATTAAATTTGTTAAATACTTTTTGGATAAGTAAGACTTGTGTATTTTACAATGTGTTTTAACTGCTTAAAGTGTGTGTGTAGCTATATTATTTTCGATATCTCAAATATTAAGTGTTTAGGTTAAATACGAGTATGTAGGTGTTACTCAATACTATACCAGCTTTACAAATCCATTCAACATAGCCGTTCAATTCTCTTTCTAGCTGATGTTGTCTTCTAAGCTTAAGAAACTCTTGTCTATTTTCTACTTTTTCACGTTCTTTTGCGAATTCACTACAAAAAATAATTACACAAAAACAATATACATACAGGAATGGTAGTTATAATTGCAAGTGTAAGTTTTTCGACTTGTTTAAATGTAATAATATATTTATGTATGCATGTAAAATTTTGAATATGCTTGTTAGTATGCCGCAAATCATTAAATTTACTTGCGCATATTTTATTGTATAATTACAGTAGAACCAACTTAGGAAAACCAAATAATAAAAACGAAATTTCGAAGGGAAATCAATGGACACAATTTATATCGAATGTAAATAGAAATTTGGCAACTTTTAAATATCTAGTAAAGATAAGTTAAATATCGGGAGCTCTGTGCTTGGTATTTAATTTTAAGCAACAGTGTGTAATTGTTCCATATTATGGTCGAAAACAATAATATTCTCGGTTAACGAAGTGTTTAGATGCGGAAGGCCAATTTAATGCGTCAATTAATAAACTGATGTAAATCTTAACAAGTACAGAAGCAATTTCTGACACTAATGTAACCATACATAGTCTTGCCATAAGTACTGTTGTGCCGGCATGGCTCAAGTCAAATATTCATCAAAAATGTTTATTTATCTTAACATCTTATCCCTTTAAGAAAAAGCTACAGAAATGGATATGTCTTCAAGATTTATTCCGCTGCAACCTTCGTCTAACAAGATAACTTGGAAGGCGTAGTAAATCATTTGTCAACAACCTCCATCAGTGGAAAACCGGGACACAAAGCCAAAACAACTTGTTACACCAGAAAATCCAGGACTGTATATATGCTGAATAATGATCTCCGATAGCCACAGACTTAAAACGTCTCGATTACAAATTTTAACAGGATTTATGTCAGGACTAAGAATACATTTCAATTGACTTAAAGGCATCGAACGAATGTTCTGTTATCTTCTGCTTAGATTAAAAAAGCGACTTAGGTTAAAAAAGTTTTAAGCCTTAAATGTATTTACTGTAAAAGAAATTTTGAGTAGTAAAAGAACCATTTAGATGTGTATGACAGTGTGCTTGTCCTATATAGGTTGGTTTATATGAAGATCTTTTTTGGAAAACGGAGTTATATAGTTATTTAATAAAAGTTGTTGTGAACCATTGGATGTATGGGAATATGTTTAAGTATGCTCGTTTTGCAAAAGCTTGTGATTTTCTACAATAATTAAAATTATTTACATATAATGAGAATGAATGAACTATGAGCCATTACAGCCGATATTAACATTAATTCAACTCGCCATTCCCCTACTTTCGATCTTTATGCGCAGATCTCTTGTCAAAATATTTACAAATGAAAACAGTTATCGACTTGAATTCGATAAAAGATGGTATCCGGTTACCTTCTTCAAAATTAAAAATACTTTTATACCCTGAGCAGGGACTATTAAGCATACCACGAAGTTTGTAACACCTAGAAGGAAACGTCAGACACCCTTTAAAATGTACACGTAAATTATCAGAATGACGAGCTGTGTTTATTTAGCCATGTCCTTCTATCCGTCTGCCTGTCTGTATATACATAAACTCGTGTTTCAGTTTTTGAGATATCGATGTGAATTTTTGTACAGACCTTTTCTCCACTAGACGCTGCTCCCTTGTTGGAACCGCCGATACCACCATAACATATATCTGCCATACGAACTAACCGATCAAATTACAATAACTTCTTGTGTGAAAACTTCTTTATTTGTTAAGGGTATTATAGTTTCGGTGCAACTGAAAATAATGTTTTTTCTTGTTTTTTTCAAAGTCTGCACTTTGGTAAATTTCAAATTTTTTTAAGGCAGTCGTCATTGTATGGTAATACCCTATAGATTAATTATCCTTTTTATTTTCAACAACAGTGAAGGTTTTTAAGTAGTTTGGGAAATAGCGAGTCTTTTTCTGTATATTCATGAATTATGCAGCACTCTAAACTAGTAGTAATATTGCTCCAAGATCAGTTATTAATGAAAAGTCAACTTATCTAAATTTGTTGGTGCCAAGACAAATAACCAATACTTTCAATAGTCATTTGATATAACCCGTATGAATGGCAAGATCACATAGAGTATCAGATTATAAATAAAAATGATAAATGTATGCATGTGCTTATGCATGTTTATTCTAAAGGTAACTGGGAATATTTGTGTATATCTCATCTCTGCTTTAGATGTACAAGTGTTTTTTAATTTGTATGAAGTTGCTTTCCGAAGTGCGCTCTTAACTGTAAAGTGTGCTTATTAGCAAATGTTGAAAAATTGTATTATTGCTTGGATTTTAGTGTGTAATAGTAGCTGGTTGGGTTTTGGTTTTTCAAAGGTTGTGTAGTTTATGTAAATGTAAATATTGAGTAGTTGTGTAATTATGTATATTTTTCTCTTTTGAAACTATTTTTCGTTACGTAAAATGCATAACACATTCACATTGCAGCACAAACAAACAAACAAAACTTTCGCCAACACATTCAGTAACCCGCATCTCAAACATATTTTCAATTAATCGTTACTAAGCTGGTATTCTAACAACGGTTAACATTTCCGGGAGTGACTATATTTAAAATAAGACTTTCAAAACTCTGGATCCATATACATACAAACACGTATTGGTTTAAATGATTTAGGATTTACTTAGATTTTCGATTAATGATACTTGTTTGGCATACACTTGGAACTAAAACCAACTAGCATGAATATACTATTAGGTAAATTCATGTACCATAACTTTATAGGGGCTATTTATATAGTACGAGTACAAGTACGAGTAGATTTTTGTATATTTCGTATATTATTTGGATGCTTGTTATGTACTGCTTGCATAACAAATTTAGGTGGTGAGGAATAAGCGTTGCTGAAAGGTGTATTTCATATTTTCTAATTATGTTCCGAATCTATATTGACGGGGTATGTAGATGGTGGTGGTAGTGTTTGCGGTACTAGGTTTAAAACTCTTTTTGTCATAACTGTTATTTGTTTTACAAAAAAGGTATGTCAAAAACCTGCTTGTGTTATCCAATCGAGATATGAAACCATGGCAGTTTGAAACATGGTGCGAAAACGGCATTTTTGAAACTCCATGCGACGTTCGACACGATTACGTTCATTCGAAAACTCACTGCACAAAATATTTTCGGGCATTATAGCAATTCAAAAATAATTTTTTTTGTTTGGTTTGGTTTGGTTCGTTTCAATTCAATTTACAGCAAAAGAACATATAAATTAGAAAAGATTGTTAAATTAAAGAAAATTATTTTAAAAGATATGCAACAATCGATATAAATATAAACTTATTCATATAAAAGAATGTTAAAAAAATTAGATATTGTACATTTTAATAATCTTTGATTTACTGCAGTATTTAAAAATCAACTTACCCGCTTAGGACACCGAGAACTAAGTTGAGCATAAAAAATGAGCCTATAACTATAAGAGGCACGAAATATATCCAATTAAATGCTGAACCTAAAGCGTCGTTGGTCTGCAATAATAATCATGGTGGAGATATATTAATGCAAAATTAATAAAAACAGCTAAATTTCGAATGTTATTCGAAAAAATAAAACGAAAAACGAAAAAATCATAAGGAAAATGTTTCTCTATTTATTTCCTTATATACATACGTACGTATATACGGTTAGTACACTTACGAATAAGCTATGAAGAGAAAAACTTGAAGACAAAAGGCTTACCATTAAAAATACAACAAACATTTATTTTGATATGTACTTGGATTCAATAAATAGGTGTTATTAGTGTAGGAAAAAATTAACTCGAAAATTTTAAGAGTCAATTAGTTTTTAATGTTCTTGCTACAAAATAATTTGAATTTAGCCCACTCTTTGTATGAAATGTACTTGTGTTATTGGCAAAATTTATATTTCTCCGATCAATTTCATATTTTATTCAACATAAAATGCTTTAAATCAAAAAATAATTTACGTAAAAATTTTGTGTGTGTAATTACTTAAACAGTAATGGAAACTTTAAAAAACATACAAGTGTGTGAGGATTGAGAGTCTAAAGAATATAATACAAGCACACACTAAGAAATTCGATTTTGATGCATTCTGGTATTCTTCTTAATCAATATGGGAACAAATAAACCAACAATTTTATTTTTGCCATCGGATATGAAATCAAAAAAAGAAGTGACAAGCAGAAAACGTGGCAGCAATTATCTGTTATGCTCGAAAGAACTAAATCACGTAATAAAAAATAACAAACATAAAACAATTACAATCATTCTAACAAAAATCTGTCAGAATTTTAAAATTTGAACCTGCTGTTTTGGCTAAAAAATTTAAGTCAGCTTTGAATTTTATTGATATTCTCGGCTGTTATCTATCATTTACCTCTAGATCTTGTTAGTTAAATAATGCTGAAAATGAAATAATGGATAACCTTTCAAAATGAGTTTATTTGCCAGAGAATGCATCAAAACGAAAATCTTAATTAATATGTGTGTGTTTAGTTGAAAATCTATAAATTATATACAGCTATGATAGAAGATTACACAAACAGTATTCACCTTCATCTGTAGCTCACTATCATATATGATAGGCAATTCTGTATTAGGTAAATCATTATCCACTAATTAACAATTTAAAAATTTATTTAAAATACATACTGCAAGGACCGGAAAAGGCTGCTGTCAATTTTGATTTAAAAATTATAATAATAGAAAAGTTGCCACATATTCTATGTTAATATGCACGGTAAACTAAGGTATATAAAAAACCGTACTCCGGTCCTTATATTGTATTTAAATAGAAAGAAATGGGAGAAGTTTGGACATAGATATACACACATGGAGGAGTAGAGGACATTCAGAAAAAGGGGGGTGGCTTCTATAATATTTTGCAGTCTGACGACACAAAACTAACTAGAAACGGAAAATACCAAAGAAAACGGACGAAAACGCACAATAAACTCAATGGGAGTAATTTATAGCTGCACATTTTAGATTCGTACAAATACGGAGAGATTAGTAATCCTAGAGCAAATGCATTGAGACAATTTTAGCATATGTTTACTTGTTGACAAAATACTGATCAATATTGATTTAATATGATGAAAATTTTTTATTGTCTTGAATATTTTTCATTGTAGTGGACACTTAATTTTCGTAGCATTTCATTAAGATTTAGCAGCAATTAATTACAAATATGGAATAGACATACAAATTGTGGCGATACGTTAATGCGTGTGTATTTCTAGCGTTTGTTTTATACAAGTATGATTGTTTTATTTTCTATTTTTTGAGTTATTCAATTTAATTTACCCAATACAGTATTGCTGTCCAGCCCTCCATTGTGATACATTGGAACACAGTCAACATGGCAAAGCCGATATTATCAAAACTAGTAATGCCCCAATTTGGCCCTTCCCATTTATCCAGACACATACTCGTGTTATAATCACATGTAAATGAACCAGTCGCTCTCATCGATGAATTATCAGAGTAGCATGGTGTCTCTGATTCTCCTTCCTTAACGGACCTTCCTACAAGTAAAAGGAGTAAAAATAAAATAAATATGAAACATGTGCATATAATATTATTACAGTTATGTTTATGAGTATATAAAGGAAAGGCATTTTCTGTGCTGTAAAAGAATTTCACACTCTATGATGAAGTCAGTACTATGGAACCATTATTTAGAAATTTAAAAAAAGATGTGATCTCATATAGTGTACGCTCATTCCCTAGCAATTCCAGTACCAGATATTAAGAAAATATAAATATTTCATATGTCTTCAGGCTTCTTTCAAATATGACTTCTATAGAAAAATTACAGAAAAAGGCAGAAAAATTAGATCCTGGCTAATAAACGGAAATGAAGAAAACGGCATGACATTTGGGTACTTCTTTTTTCCTTTGTAGAACTCATGATCTTTAGAAGTTAAATTTATATGATGTTTTGAAACTTTGGGGTACAAAAATTAAACTTTACCACAGTATAAAAGCAATATTAATCCTTCAATAAAATACGATCGTTATGATATATCGCACCTAACCTGCAAATAATATATTGCGTTAATCGCTGTGTAATGTTGGGATCTTTCGCAAGAGATTGTTAAATACAACAATAGCTGAAAATAGCTTTAATACAGAGACAATTAATTTGGAATTACTTTGATTGAAATAAGCTGAAACTTGTCCTGCTTTCCTTGTAATTGATTAGATCTTTTGAGTCTATGTTAATTTGGTATACATAAACATTATCTGTGCGTCGACTTTTTAACTATGGAGGGATATGTTAATTAAGATAAAACAATCCATAGAAATCGCATTACAAGTATATATATTTTTAATTTGAATAACCAAAACTGGAGTAAATGATTAATTATTGACTCGTTCACCTATGTTTATCTTATATATCGGTAATAGAAATAACAGTACTTACTTAGATCTTCCAAACTGTAACAAGTTTTATGCAGGGCACCCGAATAGAACTCGAGTCCGATGATTGCAAATATAACGATCGCAAACAAGACTAAAAGTCCAATTTGAAGCAACGGCGCCATAGCCTTTATAATGGATTTTAAAACTACTTGTAGACCTGTGTTTCCATGTCGTCGTGAATATTAAACAGCACATCAGTGTGAGGCAGCAGTCAAGTTGCATAAAAATTTAACATATGGGATGTAAATGTTATATTAGAGAGGGAAAAATTTCATATTTTATTCAAAGAAAATTTCGAAATTAATAGTAACGCTAAAAAACAAGTTTAATTAAACTAAAAAACAAAAACTATATGTTTCTAGAAATATTACTTACTTAATGTGAAAAGTAACGAAATATAGCTTCGATGAGAGTTTCTTCAGGCATATTGAATTTGATCAGTTTCTACATTTGAAGTTATTATTGTTTTAAGTTTAATTCAAAATTTTTTAAGAATTTTTTATTTTTTATTTTAGTGCATTCAATTTTTACAAATACTTCAATACTTTTCTCAGAAAACTTAAAGCTTAAACATTTATCAAAACATATTTCGCATATACCATGATATGTACCATAAATGTCGCCGGCATAGACCGGCGGTATTATGGAAGCATATTTTGTTACTTATCACAAGTAAACATCAAACATAATAAAACTATTACTAACTATTTTTTTCAATTTCTGCTAAATTTTATATTTGAAATTGTACAACATATACTTAAGTAGCTAAGAAAACCAACTAAACTAAACTCATCGGAAAAAATTATATAGGTATGTATGAAATATTTATAAAAACGAATATATGTACATATAATTATATCTAATTTACTACAAGGATAAATATTTAAATGTTTGAACATTAGCGCTTACAACTAATGAAACTACTCACTAGGAATTCCAGAGACTAATTTTAAGGGCCTTAGCACACGTATAGCCCTTAATGTTTTTAGATCTACCTCAATCCATTTTTGTGGGAGCAGTGCCATAAATCTGATATTGTTTCGAATATGCAAGTGTTTTGTTGTTGTTAATTTGAAATTGTTAAGTTTAGTTTATGTAGTGTTCAAGTATATTTTGATTTTAGTGAAATTTTGGTTTAGAGAGATAATTTTTATTTGGCAAAATGTTCCGATTGTATGGCATGGCATGGCATAAGTTGTGTTTATTAGCAAATGAATTATGTATATAGTGGCAAAAGAGGATATAAAAGAACAACATATAAATTAATAAATATTGCAAATTTAAATATATATGCATGTATACTAAAACGAGTATATTCAATTTGTACAAAATGTTTCAATTAAAATCAAATGTAGAGTGCATTGTGAGTTTTTTTTTTATCAATGTTCGTTGGAACACACCTATGGCTTTGGGATGGTGAGGAAAATCATTAATAAATATACCACGTACAAACATAGAACACAATTGGAGCAATTATTTGCAATTACTGATTTACAAAAAAATAAAACTTTTAAACGGCTTAATACAACCATTTTTTACAGGTTATATGATCTAAATTACAAGAAATGAGAACTGAGAACTGAGTCTAAAAAGCACATAAATTGTTTGCCAAATGAAAATTATTTATACAACAATATACATAGGTATATATGTTAGTTAAAGGATCACAACGTCTAGAAATACAATTTTTTTTTATTACTTTGTGAATATGAATGAATATACAAGTATTTGCATAATGAAACATATTTTTTAATATTTTTTTTTTTACAGTTATATTGATATTCCACACACACGAAAAGGAACTAAAGCAGTGGGACTGTCGTCAAATTACTTAATTTTAAAAGCAAAACTGCAGAATTCAGTTAAAAAATATGGCAAGGAGAATTGTTTTGGTAGTGAAATCCCGCAATTTTGCTTTTTGAATGCAGAATGTAACCTGACAACAGCAAAAGTCAATAAACTTAATTTAATAATTGCTATAACCCATTTGTTGCCTGTTGAGTAAAGTGAAGAAATATTATTCCTTAGAACGGTGGCATAGATAGCATTTAGAATTGCGTTTAGTGTAAATTGTGTAAGTATGAACATGCGAAGCGTGTAAGTCTAAATCTTTGTAGGTTATGTTTGCAAATATCATTATTAATATAGTAACTATAACAAACAGGAAATATTTTCAATTTCGAAGAAAAGCCAAAACGCAATAAATCCAGAAAAACTATATGGCTCTCGATGGAGAAACAATAAAATATCGAACAACATTAGTTGTTTTGAAAGCAAATGAACTGCAAAGTGAAGGAGCTTGCAGTACTATACCGTTATTACAAGTTTGGCGGAAAATGCATTGGATATAAATAAGTAGAACATACCTTCATTTGGAATTACACCAAATAGTTTTGGCCATCAATATGAATGAAACCATAGCATTTACACTCTCTAGTTGTATATGCATACATGTAGTTAAATCGTGTGATGTTGTTGAAACATTCTTAAGGAACTAAAACTTTTAAAATAAAATTAATAATAAACTAAATGTCTACTAATATATTGAATTCGCTACACACAGTCTCGCCCGCTTATAAATTTGTAATATTTGTAACTACGGCCGCGTTTTGTTACAGACGATTCACTACTACAACATTTTCTATATACCTGATCTACAATTAGCGTTTATTTCTATATCTAGATGTCTTTGGGAGAACTACTTTTTTTGCTTACCCACTGCCGAGCACACGGAAAAGATTAGCGATAATTTTTTCGATAGACAATCAGTTGTTTATATGTGCAAATGTTTGTGTTAAGATAACTCTATAATGTTTAGTAACGTCTTAACACCGTTATTTCGATAGTATATGTACAACTATAAGATATATCTCTGGCCTATGTTATTTAAGCTAATGTAATTATAATAGTGGACAAATCTAAAAAATATTATTGATTTTTGTTCGAGCAAGTTTCGTGTCTAATACATAACATCTGAGCAATGGTTCAAAGATATATGTGACTAAAATTATGTTCGATTCCTCATTAACAAAAAAAAATTTCTATTGTACTTTTTTCTGTTTAACACATTATTTTAGAATCTTAATCGGTTTCCAACATTTACCATTTTAAACCATAGATAGGAAAAAACAGTACACAATATGGATTAGCGACATATTTTGACACGAAATTTTACGTGGTAAAATTTGAGCAAACATAGAATATTTTCGAAGTTAGAAAAATCTGAAAAGCATTAAAAAAACTTTTCTGAAAAATTTTAGTTAGTCAATTTAGACAAATATTGCAATAGCGCTACCATCCTCCGGAAAAGCAAACAAAAATATGTTCCAAAGTGAAAAGTGTTTGTTAAGGCTTTAATCTCAAATTTAAGAATAAAAATGTAAGCTATTGAGAAAGTTACACTGATCTAAATTTAACAAAATGTGTGACAAAGGTCAAGCGCTTGGTAGTGTTCTGTTTATTATTTCTGTACATATCGTTGCTTTGTAGGACATTTTCTGAAAGCAAAGTAATCATACCTTTAACATTCTTTATCAAAGCTCAATCCTGATGGCATCTGCTTAGGGTGTTATTAAACGCCTAAGCTCATTTTGAACAGAAATTAGTGGAGTAGTATTTTTGCTGAATACTTATATAAAACAAATAAAGAGGGGCTAAGTTCGGGAGAAGAATTTCACACTCTTCAAGGATTAAATCCGGGGAAATACCTTCAGGTGTGCAGGTTCAGGTTGACAAATATTTATATTAAACAAGTTAGAAAGGGCTAAGTTCGGGTGTAATCGAAAGTTCATACTCTTGCAACTTTCAAGGATCAAATCCTGGGAAATACTTTCAGGTGTGGGCAAAATTTCATATTACAAAGTGTTGCGAAAAAATTCATAATTCATTATTCGACGAAGTCATGAATGAATTACGATCAAATTTGGTATTTTCTTGAGTTATATTATAAGTCATAGTTTTATTACTATATTTTACTTGCCGTCAGCGAAATTATATTAAAATCATACTCAACTGAGATATACAAGTATCTGACATAAACTTAACCGAAGAGGTTAAATATTGAGTTGATGTGCAAAACGTCAACCAGAAGATCGAAATTGATGATATTAGATATATTAGGATATGAGATTAAGACCAAAGTCTAGACCAACTCCCATCATGTTAAGTCATTTGTTAGAATAATGGAAATTATTATATCTTGTATAATATAATTTCACATATTTAACTAGTGTACAAGGTGCGTTCCAAAGTAAACAGTACAAAAGTAACAAAGTAAACTCTAGTGGCGCCATCTATATGTCGACTAGTGAGCTAGAATCTGCTATCCTTTATCGACTTCCAGTAAAAATTTGATGACATTTATTCTATTGGAAGTGAAGTTGTTGCGTTTTAAGTGTCAGTATGTTTTTGTCATCGGTGCAAAAATGAGCTTCGAACAAAGAGCCAACATTAAATTTTGGTTTTAAAATTGGTAAAACTTTTACCGAAACGTTTCAATTGATGAAACAAGTTTATGGCGATGATTGCCTATCCAGTAGCAGAGTGCAGGTGTGGTTTCAACGTTTTCAAAGTGGTGAGGACATAAATGACGATGAGCCGAAACCCAAAAAATCGCGCCTGGAGAAGTCAAAAGTGAAGCCAATGCTGATTTGTTTTTATGATTCCAAGGGTATTGTCCACAAAGAATTTGTTTCACCCGGCCAAAACGTTAATGCGGTATTCTACCTTGGAGTTTTGAAGCGTTTGGTGCGACGTATTCGACGTGTTCGGCCCGAATATCGCGAAGATGGAAGTTGGAGTTTGTTGCACAATAATGCTTGTGGTCGATTATTTGATCAAAAATCACATTTTAACAATCAACCACTCCCCGTATTCACCTGATATGGCACCGTGCGACTTCTATCTTTTCGGAAAAATGCATTTGCCGACGAAAGGAAAGCGTTATGCAGACGTATAGCCATTCAAAAGGCTTGCACCGGCATACTGGCGGCCATACCGGGCTACGAGCTAAAACACTCGTTCGACATGCTTTTGGACCGTGCAAAAAACTATATTAAAGCAGAAGGAGATTATTTTGAATAAGATTAAGTGATTTTGTCGATAAAACCATTTGTTCTGTTTTTTTTTTATATATATATTTTATATCATACATATTGACCGATGTATACGGTATACGGAAATTTGAAAATCTTTCATGAGGTATATGGGAGATTAATACGATTTTATATATTTTTGCCATTACTTTATATTATTAATACAAACAAATGCCCTCTGAGTTTCATTAAGGTACCTCCAGTACCGTCAACAATATATAAGAAATAAACCGAATGTTTGAAAATCCTGATATTAGGTTAAAGGGGGCTAGTGCAAGTTTTCACCCGATTTGATCCATTTAGACACAGAGTTGCACCGTTAGGAGGAAAACACGCTAACTCATATATTGGCCAATATATGGGGTATAAAGTCAACCGGATGTTCGAAAATGTTTCTACTAGGTTCTAATTTCTATATTATATCTCAAACATTGACCGATATTTTCGGTAAAAAGCAGGGCTGCAAACCAGTTTTGAATCTAACCGGTTTTCGAACCGAACCGTTTTTATTTTAAAATGCGAAAACTGTACCCGAAACAACCGGACTAAAAAAAATGGTTCAGTTCGGTTGAAAATGAAAAGCCCCAATGAGCATTTTCAAGTTAAATAATATACGACGTGCTTTAAAATGCAACCCTTATGATAAGCGCCAAAAATTTGCTTGAATGCAAAACCATGAGATATCATTTTTCACTGTAATTTCAAATTATCGCGTATGTGTTCTCAGAAGGTTGGCAGATTTAAAGTTATTATTTTTGAAATGAGTGTGAATCCAGTACACAAAAGCTTTTATTTTGACAAAAATTATTATACTAGTGAGTGAATACTTTGCAAATGTATAATGAAAGAAAAACACACAAAAAATTCGGCAAGACACATACAAAGAAAGCACGGCGACGTTTCGGAGAAGATAGGTCGCGAAATTTCGAAGAAATTCCAGAAGCACCCAACATTAAAGTTTCTTTCATTGATTTTGTCATGCTACATATGTACAAGTATATATGGTTTCGCCAATTTTCGATTGAAGATCAATATCACGCACTGTAACATGGAAATGTCAAAGTAATATTACATACCAAATTTGGTCGATATCGATGTAAATTTTAATGTCCCTGATGCATTTAATTATTGATTTATCGCACTTTTAGTAGTTTTTAGCAAAATGGGAGTGGGGTGGTTATCATCCGAATTCACCTATTTTCACGATGGGGCAAGAGAAGTCGAAAGGATTTGCCCTGTACAAATGTGGGTGATATAGGTTAAATGGTTCGAGAGATGTTTACATTAAACCTATTAGGGGACGGGGACACGCACACTTTTTAAAATTTTACCAACCACAGGTGCCTCTTATTATATCGATTCGTTGTACCAAGTCTGAATTCTGTGTCTTAATTAATGGCTTAGTTGTGGCACTTTACACGTTTTTCATTAATCACGTTTTGTGGACGTGGCACTGGTGCGATTACGCCCATCTACGAACTCGTCCAAGGAACACGTGTACAAAGTTTCATTTAGATATCGTTAAGATATCCCAAGTTTTACTTAAGTTATCGCTTGCACGGATGAACAGACGGACAGACAGACTCGGATTTCAACTCGTCTCATCATCCGCATCATTTACATAAGTATATATATATATATATAACCCTATACCTAACTCGATTATTTTTAAGTGATAGATATGACTGTTAGGTGAGCAGAACTATTATATTCTGTAGCAACATGTTGCAAGAGTATGAAAATTCAAGCGGTATGATGTTCAAGTTACTAAGGACACTTAAGCAGGTGGCCATCGTATTAATTATCGTTAGGAACGATCTCAAAAAATGATAGTGTCGGGATTCGATAATATTTGATGTTGGCCAATTTGGATAATGCGTTATATTTAATTTTTTTTTAACTTCAATACTAACAACCAAAGATACATATCGATGGTATTTGCTTAAAATTTAGCACTTAACGCGAGTTGACGTCTTTGAACACATTTCTCTATGAACTTGTGATGCTTGCGAACTAGTTAAATAATTTTATGATCTTTTTAAATTAATAACCACATAAACATAGATAAATTTAGGTATGCCAATATTTTTTTAGCTCAGCACTAGAATTTCTCTATAAGAAATTTAATAAACTTTCTTTAAGATGTATTCTTATAAAAATGTTATCTAGGTAAATTGCTATGTTCTGGCCTACTAAAATAGTATTTAAGTACGTTTCCTGTGATAGCTATGTATATGTACACGTACGCTAGAACGCTTACTTGGAATTCTTGAAACGAGTTTGAGAGGCCGGAGTACACGAAACGACCGCAACATACGCAGATCGACATCTATATTAGCCTCGGCGAAGATCGTCATAGCGCTACATACCCACCACACGCCCAAGCACACGTGCGCACACACCCACATACAATGGAGGTCATGCATGCATTGCAATTATTTTTTGTTTTTTATATTTTAATAGCGTGCAAGAATTTGTATGCAATTAGTTGTTAGATTAGCATCGATCATCAGCATATTTGTGTGCAATGGTGTTTGGGGTTTTGATTTTGGCAATAATAACGTCACGATTTTTGCAGTTGTAAAATTAATAATTGGCAAATAAATTACCAAGAAAAATAATAACCAAAACAAAAACCGAAAGTTAATTTTTTCAAACACAATCAAGTGTACATACATACACACAATATAGTTGTAAAAATACGTATATTTATAAAATTTAAAATAAGGTGGAAGAGAAGCGTAGATAGAATACATAGATTAAATTTAGTGATTTTTTATGAGATTTTTGTATAATAATACCTTTATAGTAATAGTTTTAATAACAAAAATATTTTCGGATACATTCTTAGTTGGCTACTGGAACCTAGTAGCTGGAACTTAAGTGGAGTTCTTAATGCTACAATTTATATATATTTTTACGGTTTTAGAAATATGCAGTGCTTTTTGCGGACTTCTGGCGTATTCTTTGGAAACCTTGAAATATTTTTCCACCATCGGATTCAGAACTTTAAGCTATAACAGTATTGTTTACAGTTAAGACCCTTTCAGTGTGTTTATACAGTGGCACTAAGGTGTCGTCGGTGGAGTTGACGAACTTCAAAAAGGTTGTGCATAATGACTTTCTGTTCGGACATTTTAAAAACCCCCAAACAGAAATCGCGTTATCGAGAAGGTAAGAAATGATGGGAAAGTATCATCGCTGTTAATGAAAAATTGGGGTGCGTTCGAGATGGCAATCACGACAGCAGTGTTGAAAATTTGTCAAAGTGTCAAATTCTGCGTGAATTTCTTGCAACATTTGCCACAGCATCACGTTCTACTGTCACTTTTTGCACGCAATTTTCGAAATAATCAGAAAAACTAAATTTACGACGGCGATGGTTTTCGATCGCAGAAGAAGCGGTTAATGCACTCAATTCGCGTGTTTCGAAATAGTGAAATAAAAACGTCTACGATTTGACATTTTGAATGCGATTGAAGCTTTTTTAAGGGAAATTTTAGAATTAAAACCTCACCTAACTATACACTTTCAAAATGAAATGTAGAAGATCAATATTACGCAGAGCTTTTTAACGATTGATGGTTGAGGGAGAGCGGATTAAAAACAAAATTTCTCCACAATGGTCTCTTACCGTACGTACATATATTAAAGATTAAAAATATATTTATAGTATTGCAAGTTTTATACGCAATTTACAAGCAAGTTTATTCCTAACCGAAAAAGTCATTGAGTTATAAACCGAAGGAGAAATCCATATAGTTGCAAGAACAAGGCAATGCAGCAACAATAGAACATGCTTACAATTATGAGTTATATGATGATAATAAAAAAGGGTGGCTGTTTTATGTGAATATTTTACGTGTTATTAGGTAATATTACTTATATACATATGTTGTAAATGTTAAAATAAATAGATCGTGTGAGATCCATTCAGAAAACCCATCGCCAAGTATTTTTGTAAGTATTGAAACAGCAACAACAACAATAAGTGTTTTATTCAAGTGTTCACAATGAAATCAAAATATTTACCCCGTTACTACGACGATAAAATCCATGATGTTCCAAATATTCCTGAGGTAGGAGTGTTTATGCAAAACAAGCCCTAGGGCAAGGATCTTGAGCGATGCTTCTACACAGAAAATGCATAAAAAATAGGTCTCCGTTTTTTCCTAGATTCGTAAAAAATAGATGTGGTGTATTTATTTTTAAATTATTGTAAAAGTAATAACAATTATATCCACTGTTGAAAACTTCGCATTCAAAGCGTGAATATAGAATTTAATAAGTGGAACTTAACTCACCAGTTTCAGAGCCAATACTGTTTTATCACTCCCAGGCAAATGTTCTTCTAAAGCCAACACAACACAGTTGGCAATGATTGTCAATAACACAGCATACTCGAAGGGCGGCCATTCAATGATGAATCGTGTGTATTTTCTAATTGGGTTATCCTCAGTGAGGATAAATAATGATGTTGGACCACCACCGGGTGGTGTGTCGTCTTTCTTTGGGCCACCCATTCTATCAGCTAAGCGATGGGCTCCCCTTCGACCCGAGTGCCCCCCGCTTGTGGAGCCCTGTTGATGCCCTGCTAGCGCCGCTTCCTGAGCCGCTGCCAACCTGTAAAAATGTATTTAGCTTACGATCAGAATTCTTTCATAAAGAGTAAGGTTAGAATGTTAAGGTTTAAATACAATCTCATTTAATTATATAATATAAACGGATATTTTTATTTTAAATATTTTTCATTCTGTTCCAGAATTAGGTGTGTGCAAGGATTTCTATAAATATTGATGAGCTGTAATGAAATTGGGTTTATTTTGCCTTTTGTTAGATAATACACGAGATTTAGATATAACGTATCATGTTTAGCAACCAATTCACTTATGAAGTTCTGATAATGTAAGTAACGCCTCGAATACAATAATACTCTTCGCAGATGCATTGTTAATAATGCATATAAAAGGCTATGAAAAGATTCTTATCTTGATTTTGAGGAATCATTTTGATGAGTTTGAATGACAGCTGAATGCTATAGTAGTCTGATCAGAACAATATATTCTGAGAATATATCGATTCTTCGGATAATAATATATGCCAAATTTCGGGAAAATACCTTGTAAAATAAAAAAGTTTTACATACGACGTCTTGAATTTGATTGGTCAGTTTGTATGACAGCTACATATTTGCTATAGTAGATCGATAACTCAAAATTTGAGAGACTAGTTCGCGTATTCGCGCAGATCTAAACAGGCTAAATCGACTACGCTCGTCACGCTGATTATTTATACGTAGGTTGCTTTTATATTTCGGAATTTGGCAACCTAAGTGTTTCAATATGGTAATTCCCAACTGTTTGGTAAAGTTTGACATTTTTGAATTTATACATAAAACGTTTTGACATACGAGCGCTTTTTGCGTTCTTTACAGTAACTTTAAATGTTCACCCCAGTCAAAAAATGGAGCTAAACCGTGAACATTTTCACACGATTATTTTATACAACTTTCAAAGTGGATTTACTCAGCACTTAATTTAATTTTTGGCGATGAAGCTCCATGAAGGACCAGTGTTTATCGATGGTATGGTGAATTCAATTAAGGTCGTAGATTACTCCAAGATGAATTTCGTGAAGGTCGTCCAAAAGCAGTTCTTGCTCAGGGAAGAGCATTTGTGCATGACATGGGTGTTAGTTTAGATTTCATACATATCTCTCTAACTACTAAATCTTTATTAACTAGGCTTTTTGAAAACGTTTCCTATTATGACTTCAAAAAAATAATACGGAAAATGAGGTAATAGCAATGCCCAATCAGCAACGCAGATTATGGTAACTATATAAAGGAAAACGTCAGAAGCATTTATTTGACTGTAAAGATAACACGTGAAGTTTAAACATGAACTTATGAAGAAATTGGATATCCATATCCATCTCGACCAATTTTAACCAAGCACAATACATAAAATCTCTTTGATATTCTTATATTACTATTTGAAAATAGGTGAAATTAGACAATCGCGCCCACTTAAGTTAAAAATTTCATCTGACTTTTCAACTTCCCAATATTTATGAAAATAAATCAAGCAAGAAAGAAGGGGTCGAAATAAAACAGGTCGAAATAAAACAAACAATGCCTCTCAAGGTGTGGTAACTCTCATTTAAAATTGTCACAATTGGAATATAACTTACAAGCCCGTGTGGCGAATATGAGGACCTCAGCACCTTTCGTACAATATCAAGATACATGTCTTAACGAAATTGAAAAGGGCTCTTTTACTTTTAATGATATCTAAGGTGCCAAAAAGGAATAAAATCGGTTCAATACATCCTCAGCCTCATATTAATAATATATAATGGTTAGCGTCAAAAATGTGTCAAATCGCTAGCCCAATTACCCCAGCCCTCATATATTACATATAATTATTTTCATAATTATAGTGGGTGTTTAGCTAATAAGCTTATGTCAGTTAATATGAGAGTTATCTTAATGATCCTATACCCAGCCGAGTGTTGTATGTATTTAATGATGATTTTACTTTATCTGAAAGCAGATCTGACTCCAATTTAAATCATTTAAACTACGGAGGCATTGCGTAGAATAGTTTCATCAATGTTGCATAAATTTTAAATAAAAATTGTGAGAGATGCTGCAACACGAAAAGTTGATTCGAAACATCTATCATGGAATATGGCCGAATGCCGGACATTTTGTAGTCTCACTTCTTCATCTGGCGCTGTGAGATGGATGTTACATATATTTTTTTTTAACCGAACATTTTATACACTGGCAATTTGCATGGCACAAAAGCTGGGAAATTGGTAAAACTTTAATTTTATTATAATATCAAATATTTTGACCAATATAGGCGGTTTAAAGTCAGATGGGAAGTCAAATGGCTGATTGGGTCTAGGAGAAAATTTGGATTGATTAAATTAACTTTTGCACTCACACATTGGAAGATAACTTCGGATAAAAGTCTACTAGAATAAATATAATCATAATATTTTGTATTTGAGAGTTGGGTAATTCGTATACCAATTTCACATATCTTTCAAAATAAGCTTTGCATTTCCAATATTATGCGTTCACTTAATTTTGCTAAAATATCCAGTTTATACAGTTTTTTGAAAATACCTACATATATATCAGAGTTGTACCCATATTTTTGGTAAATATCAACTATAGGCAAAGAGGACCACATCTTCGGTATCTGGAGACTTGAAAAGCTATGGTTCGATTTCGACTGTGTTTGGTCGTAAGATGGTATATTTTTGGATTACTATTTACTCAAAGTTTTATTCCCATAATTTTTTTGGGGGCTTCATTTTTCTTCTGTGTAAGGGAAGCTTCACATGGAATTTGAAATTTTTAAAATATTAACACCCGGATCTCACATATAACTAGCTGGCGCTAGTTTTATTTAATTCACCTCATTTTCAGTTAGTACTCTCATTCAAAAGACGGCTGTTAAAATTTCATGACATTTTATTCATTAGTTTGCTAGTTGTTGTGCTAAGAGTGACGCTGCTTTTATTTTAAAACCAATGGATGATAAAAATTTCGTATTTTAATTTTCCACTGCTTTTTAAGGGAAAAAATACCGTTCAAGTAAAGCAATGGCTTGAAAAGTGTTATGGGGATTCAGCGCCATCAGAAACCACAATAAAACGTTAATTTGCTGACTTTAAACGTGGTCGTAGGGACACCAATGATGTATAACACAGTGGAAGTCCAAATGAGGCTGTAACACCAGAAACCATAAAAAAAATCCACTTAATAGGAAAGTGAGGTTGCGTGATATAGCTGACATCGTAAAGATTAAAACAGAAAGTGCTGGCTTCGTATTGCATGAGCATTTGTCTATGAGAAAGCTCTGTTCAAAGTGGGTGTCGCAATTGCTGACTGTTGACCAAAAACAGCAACGTGTTAATGATTCTGAGTAGTGTTTGGCCATGTTTAAACGTAACTAACCGGAATTTTTACGCCGATATGTGATAATGGTCGAAACCTGAATCCATCCCTGCACTACGAAATCAAAACGATCGTCATCTGAGTGCAGCTGGTGAACCTCTTACAAAGCACCCGAAAGCACAACAATCAGCTGGAAAGATTATGGCATCGGTATTTCGAGATATGAAAGGTGTAATATTTATCAACTATCTTGAGAAGGGAAAAGCCATCAAGAGTGAATATTATATAAACTTATTGGAACGTTTGAAGTCCAAAATTGTAAAACAGCGATCGCATATGGCAAATTTTGTTTCATCTAGACAACTCATCGTATCACAAGTCAATCAAAACAATGACAAAAATGCATGAATTTCATTTTGAATTACTGTCGTATCCACCTTATTCTCCAAATTTAGCTCCCAGCGTTTGATGGTTGTTCGCAGACCTCAAAAAAATGCTTGCCGGTAAGAATAAATGAAAATGAGGCCTATTTTGATTCAAAATACAAATAATTCTACAAAAGTAAATGGTGGTGTTAGAGTGACGCTGGAATGATTGTGTTGCTCCTGATGGAGAATATATTGATGATTAAAGCAAATTTTTAACAAAACAACCATGTTTTCTTTGTTAGGCCCGGGCCCTTTGTGTTAAAATATTATTAAATAGCTGTGGTTTTTGTCCGAATTTACCCATAATGCCCACCTTAAGGACATACATTTTAGGTAATTTTTGAAGTGTGGTAAAAAAAGGCAATTCATATCTTCAGTATCCATTTCTTATTAGTTACTTATTAACGATTAAGTAGGTTAAGCAGATCCCAAGATATGGGGTTTCACCCAAAAGTGGGCGGTGCCACGCCCACTGACTAATTTTGAACGCGCTTCTTATAAAGCCATTTCATACCATCGCAGAGATAAAATTTAATGTCTCTGGCGTGTTTAGTGATTGATTTATGGCGCTTTTAGTAGTTTTTAACAGTACCGTTATATGGGGAGTAAGTGAGGTTGTCAACCGATTTCATCCATTTTAACACTGTCGATAGACGTATTAAAAATATTTGAACGAAAAAAATAATTTTTTTGTTTAGCCTGAGGGTTAAATTTGTAGATTATAAAAAAACATCACTTTTAAAATAAAGTTTCGAGTTCAAATTTTTATTTCGTACAAATTTTTTTTATAAGTGTTCTAGAAGCTGTGGAGAGTCCTCTTTCTTAAAAAAGTTTTCAAAAATATTTTTGTGGTTATTATTGGAGTTTTAAAAAAAAGTCAAAAAAAAATGTTTTTCGCTCCACCCTACTGTATACCAAATAACAGTCTTGTATCTTGTTGTGGAGCTTAGTTATGGCAATTTATTTGTTTTTGATTAATGGCGATTTGTGGGCGTGACAGTGGTCCGATTACGGCCATCTGCAATACCAACCGTCTTACGGTACTCGGTTTCATAAAGATATCTCAATTTCAACTCAAGTTACAGCTTGCACAGACGGACGAACGGACTGACAGTCAACTGGAATTCAGCTCGTCTCTTCATCTTGATCATTTATATATACATAACCCTATTACTAACTCGATTAGTTTACAAGCAACCGTATACTACAAAAGTATACTACTCTGTAGCAACGTGTTGCGAAAGTATAAAAGGAGAACCTAGTGGTGTAGTCGTAATTAT